CCACATGGCACAACAGACCTCTCTTGACGCACCCACTGCCCCCCTCAGCAGTGTACTTCATCTGTCGTCCTGTTCTGCTCCCTACTCTGACTATGGTGAATCCTCTCACCACCCCTGCACCTCTGGCCTGTACTCCAGTTCTGTATGCATTAAAAAAAAAAAAAAGAATTAAAAAAATTAAGACTTTGATGTTTAAAGATTAAATGATGAAGTGGGCTTTGACTTAGATCTTTTATGCTGTTTGATTAATAGGTAACTGGTGATAGGGAATACTAGAGAATATCTTAGATGTAATCATGACAGGTCTTCCCAAGAACAGGTCAGGTTTCATTGCTTAGGGCCCTTCATGCAGACCCCAGAATACAAACTTGTGGGTTGGTTCCAACATTTCACTTAAAATGACTTAGAAAGTGGTATCGTTAGAATTATTGTTTCATTTTGGCAAATCAGGATGCAAATCCTTAAAGAAGCGAAGCCCACCCAACAGATAGTGGTCCTCGGGTCTTCTTCAGTGCAGTCAGGATGGTCTCCTGGCATGTGGAATTGGAGTGTTGACTGGGGACACTCCAATTGGAGTCAGCCTCATGTCCAAAGTTGTAATTGCAGTTTCACTGTGTAAAAAGGGTGGTCGAACCTTGTCTTTCTGTCCTCTTCCCGCCCTGAGGTCAGGTTGCTATCAGGGGGCTCAAAGCTCCAATTTTTAATCCCGAGGTTGGCCTTTTTGGGCACCCATTCCCTATTCTAAGTCATCTTGTTAGCCTGAACTATCTAGGGGCACCCCTTAATAGCAAAGACCTTTGTTTCATGGAATTCAGGAATTCAGAATACTTGGCAGGAACTGGGACCAGGGCCTGTTAGGCTTTGTTCACAGCAGTCACTGATTTTACTTGTATAGTTTGATGACTGGTGGCCTGAGGCTGATCCACTTTTGTGACTGGCCTAGTAACTTGAATTTCAAAGTACTTAACCAACTTACAGGAAATTTCCATCTGGGATGGGAAGACCTGTGACTATTTTGTTGAGAATGTCAAGAGGATCTGGTGACAAAACTGGATTTGTTTCTTATTTTTAGGATGTAAATAAATAAATGCAGGTGAAGGTAGAATTTCCTCCCATTTAGATTAATGGCCCTATATTTTTTTCCCTTATTGGAGAGCACCTAATTGGAACCTGGTGTTAGATGTGTACTGATTCAGGCTGCTTAATTATTTTATTTTGAAATGAGAATTTGGGACTCTGAAGGCATTTAATTGATATGTATTATAGCCACACATTGGGTAATCAACAGTGCTTTTGTTCAGACTGTGCCCTTAGGTTTTAGCTAAAAGGACAACCTAACCCAGCAGTTTCTGGAATGTTTGTTTAGGTATCATTCATTGATAGATTTGTGATTTGACTTTCTGGCAAATTCCCTTAGGTACCTAGGAAGATTCTCAATTCAGTTTCTGTGCTTTTTCTTTTTATGTTTGCAAAATCGGAAACCATTGACTCTACTCCTAACTCTTTATCATGCAGATTCTCAAAGTATATAGAAAAGTTGAAGCAGGTAGAGTTAGGAATAACACATCTCTTTTGTTTTAGTTGTTTTTGTTGAGGTATAATTGACATACAACATCATTTTAATTTCAGTTATATTACATCCAGTATGTTTGGATATATGTATATATTCCAAACTGATCACAATCAGTCTTGTTAACACCCTTCATCATACATAGTTTGCATTTTTTTCTTGTCATAAAAACTTTTTTAACAGTCCACTCTCAGCAACTTGCATATATGCAGTAGTACAGTGTTACTAAAGTCAATCATCATGCTGTGCATAACATCTCCATAAAAATGAGAGCTTGCAACTTCTTAACCTTAATCCATTTCCCCTGCCTCAACCACTAACCTTTATTTATAACTTTTTTAATAAAGAATCTGTCTTTAAAAATAATATCTTAGAAAATAAGTTACAAATATTTTGAGCCTTAAGTAAAAGCACGTTGACAGCAAGTCTAGATTTGGCTACTCTCCTCCCTCTGTTTTACCTCTTTTCCCCCCAAAATTTGTAAATGTAATTTCCTACATATATTACTGTTAAAACTACAGCTGAGTTACATTGCACCTCCTCTATTAAGATTCTTTTGCGAATATTTCCTTACTAATACTTTTTGTTGTGCCGTTTGAAAATTGTAGACATCATGACATTTCTTAAAATTAGGATATTCCTTGTAACTACAATAGTGTAATTTTTTTTTAAAGATTATGCGTACAGGACTGGAGTACAGGCTAGAGGCGCAGGGGCAGTGAGAGGATTCACCAGAGACAGTGGGGCACAGAACAAGCAGATCATCGAAGTACACTGCTGAGGAGGGCAGCCGGCGGGTCAGGAGAGGTCTGCCACACCACGGGCTGGCTGGCGGGGATCGAACTCATGCGGAAGTGGCTTTAGCTTCTCAGTGCTGTGCTTTAACCTGCTGCGCCACGAGGGAGGGTCCCTATAGTGTAATTAAGAAAACAATTTCCTGTCTGATATTTAGGCCTTCTCCAGAGTTTAGCTATGTCCTTTATCACAAATACTTGTGATGACATACTGTCCCTCTCACCTTGCTGAATCTTCTGTAACAGCTTTAAGACCAAATTTTGGCAGTCTAGACCCAGCTGCCCTTTCGTATGTCCTTAGTGTTCCTGTGTACGTTGCCTTTAGTGACACAGGACTGACGCTGCTTTGGAACTTGGCACTTTTGCTTAGATGGTGTTAGAGGTTCCTTTTATTGAGGGGGGAGGATTGCAACTGGCAGCAAACATTTTGATAATTTCTGCCTCATAATTTTTACTGCTTTTATATCTAAAATGTTGGAACACTCATTGCTTAACCTTTTTGGAGACAACACAGTGTCATTGAATTTTGTGGCACCCTTTTCTTTAGGGAGACAATCTGTGTGTCTGCTTTACAACAGGAGATTTATCTCTTCAATACTACTTGAAACTTCTACTTTTTAAACTTTGTGCCTAATTCTCAATTTCTAAGATAGAATATGTGTTGGAGAATGTGTAGGTTCTGAGTTGATGGGGGTCCAGCAGGAATTGTCATATTTGAAGCATGTGTTTTTCTGTGAAATGGTTTATGGGAATCTTGTGATTTTTGTTGGATATATAACAGGGAGAACTTTGAGTTCAAAACTAAGTTCAAGACATATTTAAAAGACTATTTAACAAAGTTATAGCCCTGTGTACTTAGTTATATTTCATAAGGATGGATTTAGCAAAGGAAAATTCAGGATTTTCCCCCTTTTTTAATAAGAAAAATTAAAATTTGAAATAAACATTTGAAGACTAGCACTAATATGCTCTTTGTGGACATTTAAAAATGAAATTTTTTTGCCATTTTCACTATTCTCTGTGTCTCTCTTGATTTTGTTCCCTGAGCTATTTATTTGTCAACATTATAGTAGCTTACCTCTAGAAATTTCAGCACGCAGTGAGGAAAAAAATGTATTCTCATGCATATATCCACAGTATCATTATTGTGCTTTTAAAGGTTAATGATATCTATTATTAAGCCTCTACTTAAAAGTTTCCTTTTTGTTCTAATTTCTTCTACAGAGCTTTTCCCTTCCAAACCATCCATTTAGGGTGTGTCTGTTGAGGTTGATTGATGTCTTCAAGCCTTGTAATCTAGAGCACTGTGTTTACCGTATTCTTTTGGGATGAAATGGGTTTTTGAGGAGTGGCCTCCTTTCTAAATCTGTTTCCTGGTGGTGATGTCTCACTTTCTCCTATGTCACCTGTTATACTGATAACTGCATTTAGGTATTGAGGCTGTGTTAGATTTAGGTAAAGCACTGCTTTTATATGTGGTACAGCTTGTCACAGTGACAGGTTGTAGGTGCAGTTGACTCACTGTTGGTGATGTCCAGTTTCTGGACCCCTCTATGGGAAAGTGGCCATGGTCATAATCAGCTGATGTCTTCACCTCTGGGGTTGGTGACATTTTTCTCCCATGATGTTTAGTCATGATTTCAGCATCTGCTTTGTCTCTGTAAATGTAAAGAGTTGTTTACATAGGCCTTAAAATTAAGTTCTTTGACAATGTTTTCTGTAACATGTGGGGAAAACTAGTAATTCCTGCTATCCTAGAAAAAGAGAATTTACTATCTCAGCATTTAAAGTTTAAATATTGTTTTCAGTTAACTACCTAGTAGATGGTATTAGTTTTTTTTTTTTTTTTTTAAAGATTTATTTATTCATACAGAACTGGGGTACAGGCCAGAGGCTCAGGGGCGGTGAGAGGCTTCACCAGAGACAGAGTGGCACAGAACAAGCAGATCGACGAAGTACACTGCTGAGGGGAGCAGCGGGCGGGTCAGGAGAGGTCTGGCTCGCCATGTGGTCTCCTCCGGGGCAGGCGGCAGGCGGGAATCGAACTCATGCGGAAGTGGCTTCAGATTCTCAGTGCTGCGCTTTAACCCGCTGCGCCACCAGGGAGGGCCTGGTATTAGTTTTTAATTGAACAAACTTTTCAGTTTTGCTTTTTCCTGTCAGAAAATTAGATTTGTTTCAGGAAAGCTCTAGTTTGTTTGTATTATCAAAGCATGATATGGCAAATATTGAAACAATAAAATCAGGGTTTCATTGGTTAGTACTCTTAGTGACTCCCACCCCGTGGCCCCCTGTGCTTGTGGGCTTTGTGTCCATCAAGGACAGGCCCTGCCACCACTGCAGCATCTACTCCTATCTAACAGCATAACGGGTTGGGATATGTGGGAAGCCAGATGCCTGGATGTGTCTGGAACTCCAAGGAGCTGTCCTTTGGAGGTTTGCAAATGCCCGTATTGAAGAAGCTGGCGTGGTCTTTCCTCCCACCTCTTTGTGCTGTCATGAGAACCCAAGTGTCAGGAAGTGAAGTGATTACTTCTGGGTAATTCACACTTAAGCTACAACTATCTTTTGTTGTGGTCAATGTTCACTCAGATGATTTTGCTCTGATGATGAATGGTTGTTTCATTGTTTTACAGAGTTCTTATAACCTTATGTATTTTTGCTGAACTTGTGAAAGAGGCACTTGGATAATGGATTAACAAGAACATTGCAGTTCTGTGAAAAGTTACAAGTTGAAGAATACGGAATTTTCACCCTAGTACAGCAGCGCTGCTGCTCACTTAAATACAGATGAATGAAGACCCCATTCGGGAAGACCCCTGGCCAGCGGTCAAGAGCTGATGCAGGTAGGCAACTTGTTCTGGTATAATAAACTTAAAACAGTTACAAGATTGAGGAATGCTTCTACATACCTAGTAGTTTGCTGTTCTTAAAGCTTTCATTTCAGATTTCATAGATTGTCAAAAAAAACCCAGGTGTTTAGGTTTTTGAAAGGCAGGGACCCTACCTTTTGGCAGAGTTATAGATAAGTAATCAGTGAGTGATGATTGTAGTAAAATAAAGGTTTTGTTTTTTTATTTTTTGGAGAAGAAATGTGAGGGGACAAGTTAAATACTAGATTAAGTGAGATTTAGGGAATTTATAACCATATCAAGGGGAAAAGATAAACACAATTTTTTATATTTTATTTGAAGGAATTTTACTGATAGAGATGAAATGAATTATTTAATAGATGTTACGTTGTGTTTTTTTTTTTTTTTTAAGATTTATTTATGTATATAAGATGGGGACAGGCCAGAGGTGGGGGTGGTGGTGAGAGGATTCACCAGAGACAGAATGGGGAACAGAGCTGGCGGATAGACTGAAATGCACTGCTGAGGGGAGCAGAGGGTTGGAAAGGAGAGGTCTACTGTACCACGTGGGTCACCTCCCTAGTCAGGGATCGAATTAATGCTGCAGTGGCTGTGGATAGCTTCATAGTGCTGTGCTTTCACTTGTTGGGCCAACCAGGGAGGGCCTACATGATTTTGTTTCTATGGCATACAGCTAACACTTAGATTAGAATTTAGAATAGGCTCTTAGACTAAGTTTTACCCACTTTTGAAAAAAAAATCAAATGTTACTGTATTACACTGTCTAAAATGGGAAGTGACATTTACTTTAGTATGTAGGTTCTTCAGTCCAGAAATACATTCAAACATTGAAAAATACCTGTCATAACTCTGTAAGGCTCTTTGATAAGTGGATCTGAGAGTTAAATTGGCAAAATGTTTAATCTCAAAACAATGATTATTACACAGTTTAGAATTATTGTTTATATTGCTTTTATGGTATTTGTAGCTCCTTTGTAGAAGAAACCACGGAGACTAAGATTTTTTTTTTAAAGATTTATTTTTTTATGCATACAGAACTGGGGCACAGGCCAGGGGTGCAGGAGGTGAGAAGATTCACCAGAAACAGAGTGGGGAGCAGAACAGGCAGGTTGATGAAGTACACTGCTGAGGGGAGCAGTGGGAGAGACAGGAGAGGTCTGCTGTGCCATGTGGTCACCTCCCTGACCGGGGATTGAACTCATGCTGAAGTGGCTGTGGCTAGCTTTGTAGTGCTGCACTTTAACCCTCTGCGCCACCAGGGAGGGATTGGAACTGAGATTTTAAGTACACGGTATCTCTTAGTGTTAATTCTTCTAATATAAAGACAATATTGGTATAATTGTTTAATGTTTACAGTAATATTAATTTGGGGTGGTGATAATGTGAAGTGTACCCCAGTCGTTTATGCTTCTGCTATGAGTGAAACCATCCAGTATTTGTCTTTTTCTTTCTGGCGTATTTCACTAGGCATGATCCCTTCTAGCTCCATCCATGTTGCTGCAAAAGGCATCAGTTTATCTTTTTTGATTGCTGAATAATGTTCCATTATGTATATGTACCACATCTTTTTAATCCAGTCATTTACTTTTCTGTTCTTAGGTTGATTCCATGTCTTTCCTATTGTAAATAAAGCAGCAGTAAACATTGGGGTGCAGGTGTCTTTTTGAATCAGTGTTTTTGTGTCTTTTGGGTAGATACCTAGGAGTGGATTGCTGGGTCGTAGGGAAGCTCCATGTTTAGCAGTTTGAGGAACCTCTAGTTTTCCATAGTGACTGTACTAGTTTGCATTCCCACCAGCAGTGCAGGAGAGTTCCTTTTTCTCCACATCCTCGCCAACATTTGTTTTGCTAGCTGTTTTAAGATGTAAATGCACACTTATTTTTAAAGTGTACTCTATTGGATTAAAAAAAATTTTTTTAAGCTCAAGTATAATTGTTACATAAAAGACTATTAATTTCAAGTGTATAATATGATTTGACATTTGATGTCCTATTGCTTTTGTTTTGCTTTGTTTTCATTTCATTTGGAGCTAACTAAAAAAGGTATCAGTAAGACTGATGTTAAGGAGTTTGCCACCTATATTTTTCTCTGGGAATTTCGGTTTCAGGTCCATGCATCCATATCTTCAGTCCACTTTGCATAATTTTTGTTTATGATACAAGACAGTGCCCAGTTTCATTATTTTGTGTGTGGCTGTCCACTTTTCCTAACCCTGCTTATTGGAAAGTGTCCTTTTCCCACTGTATATTCTTGGCTGTTTTCTCATAAGTTAATTGATCATATATTAGTAATTTATTTCTGGGCTCTTGATAGTTTTCAGTGAGGTGTTTCTATTTTGTGCCAGTACCATACTGTTTGGCTTACTAGGACTTTGTGATACCTCCAGTTTTGTTCTCATTTTGGCTGTGCCAGGGTTTTTTCTTGTCCAGCTCTCTTATTAGCCCTGTACACTTCAGTGTGTTTTATATAGTCTTCTTAAGCTTTGGTTTTGTTATTTAAACAATGGGACTGCATAGTGTGAACATATTGGGGTTTTATTGAAGAATAAATGAGTTTAAGTTTGTTTGTTGCCTAGCTATTTTTCTGGCATATTATAACTGTTCTACAGAAAGCAAGTGTGTTGATCACACTGTCCACAATAAAAGAAAATAACTGCATCTTATAATTGCAAAAAGTGCTGTCAGGTTTTTGTTGATCCAGGGACACCTTCCATATATCATTGAATAGTACTTCGTTTTCCAGAGTTCTTTTTCTTTGGTGCCTCATTCCGAATTCAGTTATTCTTTATTGATTCTGAAGTTGCCATCTTGTTAGGACAAGCTGATTAAATTGCTCTGTAGTTTGGTAAATAGCTGAAAGAGCCAAACTGACAAATTACTGTTTTTAGAAAGCTGTTGACATTAACTAGTACTTTCATCTTATGTTTTCTTATTCTTCAGTATTTCTTAAGGACTAAAGACAAAGTATTCTTTGAATTGTGATTGGCCTGTTGTTCGCTATTTTAACGTAGGAGACCTTGGGGTCATTATTGTTTTTCACTATCTGTAATATACTACTTTGGAAAGATTGCTGACAAGACCCCTTATCAGTACTGTTTGTAAAATTAATTGTAAATTAATCATTTATCTTGTTAACATAGACAAATGACTGTTCTTTTAAGTCCCTATGTTAGTTACAGATGTGCCCATTTAAAGTAAAGAAAACCCAAACTGAGGTTTTTCCTCTCATGCATTTAGAAGCCCAACTGGGCATTCCTTGGAGTTGGAATGGTGGCTCAGCTTTAATTTTAGCCTTTAGCCTGGCACCCTTTCAAAGGTTAAAGCTGAACGCTTCCACAGGTAGTGAATAATTGCGAACTATGTAATGTGATTTTTTTTTTTTGGGTACAATACTTTGCTTTTCCTGTTTTTTAAATGATTGTTAAATGATTGCTTAACTGAAGTCTCTTGAACTCCTAATATAGCTTTATAAAACTCCTTTCAGTATAATTTCCTGTACAGCCCAGTGGGGCAAATAATTCAAATCTATGTTTCCTGAGGCTTTTTTCTAGTTCCTTCTGTCCTTTTCAGTCTGAGTTACTGCCCTTTACCCTGCTGTGGCGCTGCTGGCCCTGGAAGTCCTGGTTCTTCTCCAGGTTGGAGTTAACCTTGCTTCCTTGGGAGGCCTTCTGTGTTTGTGGTGTGCTCTTCCTGGAAGCAGGCCTGTCTGCTGGACTCTGCAGGGTGGGCAGTGAATGCGTGATTGTTGAAGCTATCAGTGGACTCGATGAGGATTCACTAGTGTTCTCGGGCCACTTTTGTGTATGTGTGAAGTTACCTCTACAGTTTTTCATAGAAAAAGTTTTTTGAAGCCATGTAGCGACATTTTTGTTCTACTCCCACACTCAGTCATTTGAGCGCAAAAGCTGTTTGAATTACTTTGTTTCAGAATTTTCTAGGTCTTACTCCTTGTTTGACACTGACAGAGTTGCTCTTTGGGGAAGTTGGATGCTGTTTTCATTTCTGAACCTGTGTTGGTTTTCCTCCATTCCCTAAAAACTTGTATAATTTTTTTTTATGTATTCTGAAATGTTATGACAGTGCAGATATTTTCATTTTTTGTTCTAGAATTTAAGGTCTTCAGATTCATCTTGACACTGGAGTTTTGTGCCACTTTTCTGGTTATATTGTATGCCCTCTTTCTGGGGTACATGCAGTTTGGATGTTACGTCTCTCAGACTTGCTTTTCTTCCTTTCCTAATTCTCCTTTTCTGTCCTCTCATTTTCTGAGGGAGTTTACTGTCTTTATTTTTCAATCTTTTAAAAAACGTTCTATAAATACTTAAAACTTCTAACAACTCTGTATTTCTCATTTTATTTTCATAATGCATTATATCATGGATGCAGTAGCATATACTTCTGAGGCTGTAAGTTACATTTTTAAAAATGCTATCTTGAATTAGCTCTGCTTGTTATGTATATTTTTGTGTCTCTGCTTTCATCCTTTTTGATCTGGAGATTTTCCCTAAATCTCTTGTGATCTCAGTCAGGTCCACTAAGCAAGGCATAAAATAGTTAATCGGCACTGCATACCTGAAAGTGGGCCTACAGCCTGGTGGATGTCCCTTACCCTTTCGGTCTTTCAGTATGAATATTAGGGTGTGGAGTGTTCTTTAGAGATGGATTTTTGGACTTTCTGCTTGTATGATGAGAATGTCATCTTTCATGTGTCCTCATTTCTCAAACTTTTGCAGTTATTTGTCTCAATTGTCCAGTAAGTGGCACCCTGGAGTCTACTTACTGCTTGTCGCATTGAGTTGAGCTTAGGAAATTGCTGAGTGGCAGAGTCCTTGTAATAGTCTTGTTACAGGGCAGGGAGAGGGGCAGCACTGAAGCCCCAGACCTGCCTGATCCAAATAGGTTCTGCTACCCGCCGCATCAAGACAAAACACAAAAAACTTTAATGAAAAGGGACTTTAATACAGTGAGTATACA